CGTGATAATTGGTGGCATTCAACGTTACCTACGTTACTGTAATTATTACACCATACAAAAGCAGTAACGTTAAGTAATAATACCTACTGCTATAGTGCCATTTATAAATGAAATATTTAAGTAGACAGTGATATCTTAACTACATTCAGATTTTCTGATAACCTCTATAAAATCTTATATAAATTTATATCATCATATACAAATTTAATACACATATATGTAATATAAGAAAAACAATAAAAATAAATATATCATACATATATACAATAATATTATCAATAAGAAAATACATTCGATTTTTTGTATAAAATATTTATAATAAATAAACTATAAAAATACACTGTTTGAAAATTATATTATTCTAGAATGACTTAGGTTATTTAAATAATATACAGAAAACTCACAAAATAATGAGCACACTGATGAAGTCGGGACAGGCCACTTGTCTTTGATAAATACCATAAGATATAACAATAAAAATGCTTCTACTATAATAATAGGTATTTAGGAGTGTATCATGTAGGTACAAAGTATAATACATTTGTTTATTCTATATTTAAATTCATTATAAATATAGCATGCATTATTAAGCCTTTCTATTGTAATTATTATAAAAAAGGTGCTAGCAATCACCTGATTAAACTAAACTATCGTAAAGGCCCAAATCGAATCGCAACACACACAATATTAGTGTACCTATAGAATATTTAACAATGAAATCTCCTTGCTCCAATTAAGCTGCCCTTTATCGTATTTAAAGTGGGAGGTAGCACACGAAGGTAACCAGTTGTCTACATGCCCATAATAATATTGTAAATATTATGAAAGTTAAAAAAAATCATGTTCCCTGAGTATAAACATTATTTTATAATAAAAAAACTTACACAATTTAAAAAAATATCATAAAATATTTAATATAATACTATTATACTAACCAATAACGCACAAATTAACATAACCTTTATAAAAATATTATTTTGAACAGATTCAAGTTTGGACATATAAAAGTGCCTAAAAAAATGCCAATCATAAAATACAAAAGCAACAAATTTATATTCGACTTTGTTTTTTTAAGGCATCCAAATATGTAGACCTGTAGTGTAACCCCAGTTTAAAAAAAAATTAAATTAATTGTATTCTTACTTTAAAAATACATCTTCGGCATTAAAGGTTTTAAAGAGTTAAAAATAGAACAATAGAACTATGATCTGTGGATGAAGCCATCAAGAAAAGAATAAAGTAACATACCTAAAAACAAGACAGTCTATCTGTTACGAGTCGCGCTGCGACCACTCAATGTATCCATTAAGATTTGATGTGGTTATGGTATAACATAATTTAAAATTGGTGTAGTTCATTACCCCACTTTATAAGTTGTTCTATTGTCCTACTTATAGGGGCAAATATAGTGTTTATTTAAGCGTTGTTACATTAAGTATTAAAAATTATATATTTAGGATCAACGAGGAGTTTTTATCACGATTATCGTATCGAATATGTAATATACGAAATTAAATAATACTGAGTTTAAACAAAGAGAAGTGCATAAAGCCTATACTTAGTTATAAATGAATATTTATAATTAAATCTACGCGGTAAAAAAATCGTAATGCTAATAGTGCCGGCGCGGCGCCACCTACGTATTTATATCGAATGTAGAATGACAGATTGGGAACGTAATATTCTGATAGTGGTTTTTTAGTGAGTAATAATCTCACACACCTCCCTTGCCATGCCTCTGGAGGGGAAGTGACATTGTGAAAATAATGCACCACTAAAAAAAAGTTATATGATTAATATACAGTTGAAAAGATATTCTATAAGTGTTTTGGATATTTGATTTTTTTCATTCTTATTTTCGTTTCATATTTAGCATATTTTTGTATAAAGAGTAATAATATAATTTCTATATGTAACTGATTATTCTTTCATTAATTACCATCTGGTACATCGTATGTAATTATTATCAATGTCAAAAAATATAAACCAGAATCGTGGTTTATACGGTACGGAAACGAATAAATCCTCCTACTTACGTGAGTATTCATCTGTTACTAAACTTTTTATGCTCTTTTATAAACAAAATATTGCTTGCTTTTGTAGCTTGTTTTAATAAGTTCTACACAACTAAATATGTGCTTACGAAGGTAAAGCTAAAAATAACATAGAAAAATGACATGCACAAGTGACTAAAATGTCCTGCTTGAAAAGTTTTTGTGGTTAAATTTGTGCAGTGTGTGATTTTTTTCTAACGTAATAGTCAAGGGTAAAATAACGTTGGCATTTAGACTAATATTTAAGACGGTTACAAGAAACCGTTCTTGACCTTTTTAATCAAAAGGTCACAATAATTTTTATCATTAGCTCCAATAATATTATGTCTATTTTAAAACCCAATTTATTATTTTTGTTTCTTCTGTCCTCAGATAGTCGTTCCGCTATTTCACAGAAGTTCGTTCTTTAGCCCTAAAATTGCAATGGCAAATATATAATGATCCACCTTAGCATGTTACTATTTAATTTTTATTATTAATTTCTATAACATAATTAATATTTATTGCTTAAAATATCCCTAATATTGTAAATATTGTAGTGATTGTTTGTTTTTTAAATCTTTGGTCCCAATTGTAACTTTACTACTTAATTAATCCTCGTGAAATACAGCATAAATTTAGAACTACTAATTACTTTAAATTCCATCCATTAAATTATTCTGATAATGCGGACGAAGTCACTGGTGAAAACTAGTTTGTTGTAAATTCAAATTCCAAAGGCAAACCTCACGAAACATGTTATAAGAACTTATCAGGTGTGAACACATGTTACAGGATCCACATGTTTACATTTATAAGCTTTCGAGACCTTTGTTGCGCACGATAACGCTTGGTTTATGGTCTGAGATAAAGACCTTGTTGACTATTCTAAAGGTAGGACTGAAAATGCACAGACATGCATAGGGGACTATAAGAATGTGAGCATTCGTGACTCGTTATAAAATGTTGAATGAATTGAGAAAGTCGGCTCTAGAGACAGTTTATGGCGGTATAATTTACAACTTCCTTTTAATAAATATTTTATAACTGATCTGTAACAAATACGTTTGAATTCATACATTTCAACTTAAATATGTAAAGTTACAACAAGTATTTAAAACAGCAACATGCAAGTTTCTTGCTCGTTCTTCTTGTAATGTTACAGCTTTCCGAAAGAGTGGTAGATTAAAGAATTAGTATGACTAATTAAAAGTAAAATTTAAAGCTTAAATTAAAATTTTTTTGATTAAAGAATACAAAGAGGCAATTATTTTATAGATTACTAGCCATTACCCGAGTATATCGTGCGTAGCAAATTTCATTCCCTATTTCACACCCTCTATGGAATAGAATAAAATGAAAAATTTAATATTAAAAAACGTGACATAATTTTGTTCAGATTAAATTTCAATAAAGTGTGTTCAACTGTAAAAAGTTAAGAAACAAAAATTAATATAATTAAATTTATAAAATTAGTATGGACGTCAAAACTAAATGATAAAAATGTGATAGACATAAAAAAATAGAGTAGATGTAGGTGTGTAGCTGACAACTTATTGCCATCATTAAATTTTTAAAATTACGGAACTGATTTTAAGTCGGTTTTTTTAATAGATAAAGTGATTCAAGAGGAGGATTTATATATATAATACATGTACACCCGTGCGAAGCCGGAGCGAGTAGCTAGTTAATATAATAAATGCATTTCTTATTAATAGCGTTCTTACTGGCTGTTGTGTAAAACATTAATACACAGATAAATTAAAGCAATGATAACTAATGGCTGCAACGTGTTTCATGATTTCGATGTCGTCACACGCTGTCACCACCGTTGATTGCACCGTTTTGCACAACAATATTTTTGTAAAAATTTAAGTAGTAATTGTATTTATCTGGGACTTATTTGACTTAGGTAGGTCAAATAGTTTTTAGTTTAGGTACGTATAGTTTTTAGGGGGGAAGGGGATTGTTAGTTTGCTAGCAATGTACCATGTTAGGTCGACCTCCACGCGGTTCATCCTGGAAACCATCGTTATAAATTCCTAGTGAATTTGTCACGACGGGCTAACTGACTTGACCTCATATTCATCTTATCCTCCTTATCATCCATCCTCCACTAGTGTCCTGCCAGCGTAAACCTTTAGCGCAGGCGGGAGGGAGCACCATTTCATTATTGTCCACAAAAAAAAATACGTATAGTTTTGTAGAGAAAGTTCAAATAAATTTTATTGTAATAATCAATGAGACATCAACTTCGAAAACGATTTTTAATGAGCTCTCGAAATAGACATCAAATATAAACCAATATCAATCAATAACTTGTTAAGACAACTCAAATTCATTTTGTTTAGACGTATTGCAGGTATTTTGTCTACTATCATAAAACAAATAAATACAGCTTTAATTAGAAGATTTATATTTGTGCCATGTATACAAAAAAGAAGCTCAGAACAGGAGTGCCGTACGCAAGATGAGTCAGAGACCTTTTCACCCGAGGACATTGTTTATTCTGAACGCAAACCAGATCCTGCAGTGTTTTGTTTAACATTAACGTTACTTAGTGAATTAAAAACCTAACTTTACGTTCATATAGGTATTTATACATTATAGACTCTTGAATTTAAAATTAACAATATTCAATACAGCTTCATTTGACTTTTTAACAGTTGTAATAAACTTATAAAGATTATTTTTAGAACATAGTCTAAGTTTGTACATTTTAATACTCCCACCTTCTTCCAAAGTCAAACAACTTGTGAAACATTTCGAGTTTTCCCAATGAGACTCTCTTTATAACTTTTACTTGTTTATATTGAATTTATAACTCATCATGACCTTACCAAACGTTCTTTTACATTGTAGCCACCAGTACGTGTCTGATAAAGACTCGAATCAGTATCATATGAAAGCTTTCTCCGCTACCGCTAAAGTTATACAATAAGCATAACTGTAAACATCCGCTCTTACCTCTGCTTAGGCAAGTCCGTTAAAATTCCGGTACACTGCTTTATAGAAACACTAACACTTTGATTTTAGCGAGTCGATCGACCGTCGGATCCCCGCACCGTTATTCACGTCATATGTGTGTCAAATAACGAGAAAAATTCTCACAATCTCCGACGGCACTCACTGGAAATCTCTGTTATGAACAGTCGAACACAACACTGCACAGTTTATAGTCACTACAATTCACATCACATCACTACAATTTTGAATTTGGAACGGTGCAGGAACGATGCACTTGGCGCGTGTTGCGCGCGCGGCGATTTGTCGCGGTCGCGTCGGCGTCGCGTCGCCGGCAGCTGAGTATGGCGCGGCGCAAGCGTGTACGCTCACCTCTCTCTCGTTTGAGCGACTGGCGCGCTGCCTTCACCTTCGCCGCACGGCCTGCCCGTTTCGCAACCTCTGCTCAGCGGTTTCCTTGCAACCGTGGAGTTGCATAGTAACAGCTCTTTTAAACCCCACATTAAATGGTATCAATTATAAAAAAAAATATGCGTCTGATTTTACTTTGTTGTGCTAAATTTAGGTTGCCGTAAATTCCCAACCTTAATTGCAAAGTAACGCGACATTTACAATAGCTGTCACGCACAAATCAAACTTTGAATTCGAATCTTATTTATTTTTATAGATACGTAGATATTTTAAGTTATTTACCACGTAAATATTATTATTTACGTGGTAAATAACTTAAAGTTGGAAAGTTTATACTTTCCAATAACTTTCAGGTATAAACCTCGCAGTAAAACCTATTCTGATAACATAGCCTGATAACATAAATTAGAGAATATCTATGAATGCAAACCACCTAAAATGATAAGCGTAAAATACCTCTCTACCTTCAATCCGCGACTTCGTTGTGTGCGTAACCGTGATTGACTGAAATAAAAAGTTGTTGAAGTAGGTAAGTATATTCGCTTCATACTAAATATTACCACAGATAACATAACGTATTGACTCAATTTTATTAAACAAACATATTCTGACGCGTTTATAATATTAGCTAGAATTTATCACAACCTCTATATCACTAGTGGACCTAGTTAGTTAAACCAACTAGGTCCACTAGTTGACGGAAGTCCAGTAACCCGTTGACGAGACGTGCTCCGAGAAACATTTTACTCATATACATTTTATAGCGTCAATATACCTACTTTTATATGCAAACTGCCATCCGTCAATATAAATGTGCTAATGAAATCGATTGGACAGAAGCGAACTGGTTATACTTCGATACATTACTGGTGCTTTTATGCAGAATAAATACTTAGTTTTTTTACATTCGAGAAGTGTGTGTTGACCGGTACACTAACTTATAATCTGGGTTGTTAAATTTAAAACATTTGGCCTCATATGAAAAAGACAAAAATATATTTTACTTTTTATTTGGCACTCTTACCACGTATATAATATTTATTAGTATCGGTAGGTCAAAATCTCATACAAACTTGTTTTTATGTAAATAATAATAATAATAACTCTAGATAATTCACACAACGCCATCTGCATAGCTTAGATGATATGGCCATGTAATGTGTAATGACGAGGATTACGTGGTCAAAAAAGCCTTAAGACTACCCGAACGCAAAAGAGGCAGAGGACGTCCTCCAGCCACCTGGTTGACCAGTATGAGCAAGCTTGTCACTGCGGTAAAATTGCCCGATCCGACAACCCAGGACAGATTATCAGGACAGAGCTAAGAGGAAGAAGAAGATACGTTTGTATACGATATTATACATAAAGACATAAATAAAGAAACAAGTTGATGTGCTATACCGCTAGTGGCTGCCATGTCCATAAAATTTTGCAAAATTTTAAAATTGGAATGCCAAAAACTAATACCTTATATTTCGACACATTAATTTATGACGATTCGTACTTTCGATTCACACAGAATTGTCTTAAAAATGTTAGTTATTTTAAGTGCAAAAAATACAAAAGGTAAACTGTTTGTTAATATATTTATCAAAAGGTGTAACCACATTTGAATAAGATTAAAAAAGTTTCTATTAAAAAGTATTCAAAATTAAGTCTATTTTAATAAAGGTTATTTATAGTATTAAATGAAATGTGATTAGATATCCCAGTTATATATAATAATTTAATATATTAAATCAACCAGGTAATTGTTACTAATTATTTTTCTTTGTACAAAGACACTTAAATATGTAAATATTTAGTTAGGAAGAATGACCTAGTACTCTTGGCGATTTCCCGCGCGTGAGAACTATCGAACTAGCTCTTACTATATTTGCATATAATCTATTAATCACCTATGTATATCAAAATGGTGAAACCTGTCATTAAGTAGTTTTGATATTTCAACGAAATTCTCAAACATAATTATGTACATTTATTTTTCAACAACACTGACACACTAAACTAGATCAAGCGTTAATATCTTTTGTAAGAAACTCAAAATAATGCAGACAGTTACTAAAATAACAAGTTTTGTTTTAATATAACAGTTATTAATCAATTTTAATATTATAGGTTAACGCTTTATGTCTTATTAAATATGTATCTATTAATTATGTTTTCGAAATCGTTGACATTTTTGAAGACATTACTAAATGTTTACTCTACATTTCAGATTCTTAAATATTAAATGAATACATTTAAAAATAGTAGTACATGTAAATTTATAGCTATTTTATAAGTAATTTGATAATTTTAATTGCATACATAAATAGTGTATATCGGATAACTAATTCTAACGAAAAACCTATAATATATTTACCGTTATAAAAACTCAACCACTATAGCAGTCAAAGAGTGTACAACTTAAGAAGAATAACCTTATATTCAACATCTAGAACATTTTTGGTGTAATTGAGAAAAATTCATAGGATGTACTCGTAGCTGGATACATCGTAAAAGTAAAAATATACAAATACGAAACCGGTTTTAAAAATATTAATATTTGTAAATATATGTGCTTCTTACAGCGTTGGACGTTTCTTATTCAATTATTATACAATTAAACAGCTTGGAATAAAGGCACTGATGCGTTCAGATAAAATATACATCTTATATTCTAATTTAATTCATATGGGTAAGTCTTGTTCTAAATCTTTATATTATTCTATCTCGACCATGCCTTTCGATGAGAATTGGTCTCTCATAAAGTATATTGACATGATGTTATAATCCTGTATTACCAATGTAATCTGGAACACTAGTATTATTTCTGGATGGCAACACCCTCTAAAGGCATTTATTACCACCTACTTAATACACATACAAATGGACCTCATTTGAAATGGGATAAAACGTTTGCATGCTATAGGCACTATGAAATGTGTGAATTCAGTAGTTTAACAATATGGAAATCGACAATCATCATTCACAGATCTTCACAATTACATGCGGAACATTTGTTTGAAAGACAGTTTCTAGCTCATTTTTCTTTAACTGAATCTACATTACGAAAAACAAGTATTTAAGTTAATTTTATTTAAAGTAATTATTATTTCCATTCCAATATTATATATTTATATATTTGTTAATAGGTTGTACATGTAGAAATAAATACATAGTTCCATACTCACCTACATTTTGAGCATGCAAATTTAAATTAAAGTTAATATAAAATTTATAAATTTAACAAAAATACCAAATGATCCCAGAATACTACCATATGTTAAGAAAATTATTGATTTTATTAGCATAGTGTTTTTATTGGGCTTACCGAAGAGCATTACTTTTAATTTTTTTTTAATTACCCATACATTTGCAATGCTTATGATAATTCTTCTACTTATTGATATAAAAAAGGCAATAAGTATTAAACGCATGCATTCTAAGTGATACAGTGTCGAGTCGAATAACTGGCTGATGTGTTTTACTATGTCTTTAATGGGCGGATGTTACGCGTCAATTTGCAGCATGCCAAATTATTACTGGCAGACAGAAATGGGATTTAAATAAGCATTTTATATAATAACCACTATGATGTGAACGTAAGTGCATTTATGTAAATACATGGGATATGTTGGGTGTATATACCTAATAAGCGGAAGACAAACACCTATTTTTGTATTAAAAATAAAGTATTAGGTACTTCCTGCTCTACATTACAACAATTGTTATTTGGTTTAGAACATTCACTAAAACTGAAAAGTGAATAATTATTAATTCTGTAAAAAATATTAATAACAATTGTTCATATCAAAAGTATTCCAAAACACTACATTAAAAAAATGTGTGTATAAATTTACAAATTTAAGATAATATCTTATACATATCTTATATGTTTGTAATTTACGCTTTAATCAGTATGAGTTATGATTTGGGTGCCATTTGCCATAGCGATATAGATCTATCAAATTCACCAGACCACCACCGCGCGGACAGACCACCAGAAATTAATGAACTTATTTTTCTCCGTAAAAAGACTTCATTAATTTCTGGTGGTTTAACTAAGATATGATGGCTGATTTCAACATCATCCTTTTCGTCTTCACTGTCACATTATTACCGCCGATGACCCTGTCATCATTCCATCATCATCTACAAAAACGCTTATAGTCATGAACAGTGTTGATGCGTGCAACTCAGTGAATGTGAAAGTGGAAATTCTTTGGCAATTTCCGTCGCTACAAGTAATTAATAATAATTTGACACGCTATTGCTATTATGTAACTGTTACATGTCACTGTCGTTCAGCTAAATTTAATTAATTGATTACAAATTGTACTTCAATTTCATTACAATTATAATAAGATTTTTCTGGTAAGAATATACCATCTATTATAGTCTTAAGTGAGGACTGCATGTAGCAAATGTTCTACTTATCCTATACTAGATACTCGCCGCGACTTCGCACGGGTGTACATGTATTATATATATAAACCTTCCCTTGAATCACTCTACCTATTAAAAAACCTCATCAAAATCCGTTGCGTAGTTTTAAAGATTTAAGCATACATAGGGACGAACAGACAGCGACAACGACTTTGTTTTATACTATGTAATGATAATGATATTTACTTTTTTATTATTATGGTTCGGGATTAGTATTGTTCAGAACAACAGTGGACGAAGTTACGATCGCCACATAGAGAAGAAGTGACTTTTATATCAATACATTTATTTTTATTTATTCATCCAAACTTGTTCTTTGAAAAGAGCCACAGACAATATCTAGGTCGTTCTTTCGACTAAATATTATTTCAGAGTTTTGAGGAAAAATTATACAAAATTAACATACCAAGATAAACAAATTGCCTCTACTCTCTTCCCCATATATGTATTTGTATTTCAAACACATTGATATTATAAGCAAATAAGCAAAACCAAATACATATAAAATTAACGTTGACAAAAATCTTCTGTAGGT